GCCCTCCTTTCCCTGTACTCAAGAGTTAAAAGCCAAGTTACTTTTTTGTTTTATTTGCTTCGGAACTTACAAAAATTGGACGAGGGCTGTGAACCTCCCTCCACTGAGGTAGGATAGAGTCACTGGGGGTCTGTCTGTGGGCTAACAGCCACACACTCGCGCCCAGGGAGTCTCTCTGCGCTTCCCTTAGGTCGTAGTCCCAGCTAAGGTCTGGCTAGCTCTGCCCGCCTCACCAGGATGTGGCGTACAGCACGAAGACGCTGGCGGCGCGGGAGATGGCGCTCCGGGCCTCCTTGGAGATGTTGACACCGTCCGGGAGCTGTGAGAAGAGCGGGGGTGAGCAAAGCTGCCGGCCCAGCACCCGTTTCCCCCACGGCCCGTGTGTCCGCCCCTGGCCCAACCGTCAGTCCAGCTGCTCACCGCTTCCTTGATGATCCTGGTGATGACGGCATTGGGGAGGTTTAGGTCCTCCGGCCTTTCCGCCATTGCCGCCGCTGGGGCCGGCCCTCCGCCTCAGGCCTCCTCTTCAGGCAGCTACGGCGTCCAGACTTCCCGCGTCGCCACGGTCTGACCCAACGAGGCTTCCGTCCCGCCCCACGTTGCCCACATCGTGTCCCAGACGGCCCCGCGCGCGCGAGCCTCCCTCCCCCAGCAGCCCCGCTTCCGCCTCCAGTTGCCGGCGCCTCCGAGCGTTTCATGCCGCTCTAGTTTTCGGTCCGCCCGGGCTTCCGTCTGGCCCCGCTGACACGCGGCGTCCCTTCCCAAGCTCGTTTGTCTGTTTCATGCCATCACCCCGTCTGGAGTTTTTTCACCAAATTAAGTCGGGCTCACTGGGGCTTCCGTCCCTTCCCCATAGTACTGTGCGCCGCTGCCTGGGAGACGAAGGCCAGGACCGTGCAGGCGGGGCGGGGCTCCTTTGGGTGAGAGGCGGGGCCTGGTGGGTGGGAGGGGCTCACAGACCTCATGACGGCCCCGGGAGGAGCCAGGTTTTCCCGGTGGGCTTCGGTCTCCTAGCGGTGTGGCATCGGCTTTGGTTTTTCCGAACCGCGGGCCTCTCCGAGGCCGGGTTCCCACTTCCCTTTTCCGGAACGAAGCAGGGAATCTTTTTTTCAACTGTTACCGGAGCTGATGTCCGTTCTTAATCCGTACACCCCTCCCAACTTGGTAATAATACAGTAGTCTTCAGGGTAACTGTTAGATAGAATTTTTGAAGGCAAACTATTTTGCCAGCACGGGGGGCAATGCTGGCAACATAAAGATGGGCGTGACTAGACCTTGGGGCATTGTCAATTCGGGCTGGTCCTGTAAGGAAAGGTAGACAAGCAGCCGGCTGTAAGAATAATGCAACATCACATTCATATTCGAAAACAAACCCTGTTAAAATGGTGGGTTTTTTTTTTTTAGTTTATTAAATGGTCCATAAAACAGTGTTCCCAGTCAAAAACATTACCACAGCTTTACAGCGGCATTTTAAGTTGTATCATTTACATGTTATGTACGTAGAAATTGACCTCACTCCTACTAAGTATGAATGCTTTTTTTCCTCGAAACCGGTCTCCGGTCACCCTTTTGTTTTCCTGCTTTTGATAATGAGTACAGAGAAATATTTCCCTATTATGAGAAACAGCAGTTTGAGGATAAATGAGAGCTGAAACGGCTTCAGTTAGAAACTGTAGGGTCTGGTGGGAAAACTGTCCGCTTGGATAAAACAAACTTGGTTTAAAGCTGTCAGGAGACGCTCAGTTGCTGTCTAGTTGGAATTGTCCCCCCACCCCCCGTGTTATCAGATATTTTGACCTCTAAAAGGAGCCAGAAATCTGGACAGTATGGACTGTTTCCGTTTTAAAATAATTGCTCAAAGTAGAGGCTAAATGAAACAAGTCACAGGCCAGGTGCAATCCCAGGCCAATATTTTTCTACCTTTGGTCTACATTATAAGCTCTTTATAACAGGGACCTATTTTGTTTTTACTGTTTTCCATGCTTATACAGGTTCCCTCACATATTTGGTAGTCAATAAACATGTTGGATAAAAGAACATAGAAATGGACACTGTCCTTAAAAAGTTGTTAGGGACCAGCTGGTAATGATTGCCTAAAACATTTTTAGAGAGAGAAAGACGATGGTATTTATCGAGCACCTATTATATTATCACACATAAAAGTACATTATCTCATTTAATCTGCCTACAATCTTACTTAGGGATTTCTTGTCCCCTCCTTTATATGCGGAAACAGGCTAAGAGGTTAAGTCACTTGTCCAAGACCATACAGACAGTAAATGAAAAGCCAATGGCCTCTAGAGCAACTGCAAATCTACTGATTTGCTGTTTGAGCAAACCCATTAATTTCTGCTGGGTATTTTAGCTGCCTGTATGAGAATTGGAGCATTTGAAAAGTGAAGCATGGCTTTCAAAGTTTTGAGCCATGTATCTTTTTTTTTTTTTTTTTTTTTTTTTTTTTTT